GATTGGTGTTTTTTTTTTTTTTGCTCTTCAAACTGTCAAATCATGTATTGACATCTGTTTCTTCTATCATTGAGTCTATTCCTGTGAATATCTTTTCTTAATGTATTAAAGAGGGCCTCTCTAACTGTGAAAAGTGGTGGGCGTCCACTAATAGCCATTCCTGGCTCAGCTCTGATAACACAGTCCATCGGTTTACCGAGGGTTAGGATCAAGGGCTTCTTTGAGATCTCCATGAAGGAAAGCATTCTTGACGTCTATGGGCTTTGTCGCTGTAGCAAGATTGTCCAAAATATTGAGTGGTCGTGGTCCAATATCTTCATGCAAGTAAATTTCTATGTGGGACTAATTTAGCAAATTCGACTTCTATGTCTCTCATATGGTCGCAAACTATTTGTTTTGTTATGCTTGACATGGTAGCCTTGTAACTTTTACTCAAATGGCATTTAAGATGTTAGGCATGCTTGACTCGATATAATTAAGAAAGAAATTACATAACAAAATATTTCATATTTTATTTTGAGTACAAGCAATGCATTTCTAGTTTTTAACATGTCAAAGGCACAGAGATTCCACTTTTTACTTAAAATTTCACTTAACTTCAATTTTGAGTTCCATCAAAAGATTTCCCTGAACCTGTGAGGTATAGTGTTGCTTTTAGATAAAATTAAATATAGAAATTGTGCATTTTCTCTGCTCCAAGCGACAAAAAAAATCACTTTTCATGTGTTGAATCATCTCATATAAAGGTTCATGTTGTTCTTCAACACGTCCCTTCAGATATGTACAGGACAAGACATGAACTCATAGCCTTTGAAATGCCGGCTCGACCCAGTAACATGAAAGTGATTCCACAGGATAAAGTGACGTCGAAAGCCATAAACTGCCTTGTCGGCCAAACAGCACAAAACTTCTGGTATATTCTTTCTAAAGTATTAATAGCACTTCTGTTGCACAATAGGATTCAACTATAAATATGACAAGATTCGAAGTTTGTCTTTCACTTAACACCTTTAAATTCTGTCCATAATTAGAGAATTTTGTCAAAAAGGAGTTGGGAACAAAGTGGTGAGAATTTCTTGCCTCATTGTAAATGCCATATAACAAATAAAATCACCATCAAAATATTCTGCAATTGAGCATCAATTTATTCTTATTGAAATTTTAATCTAACACTATAACTATGAACCTAAAATCTCCAAAGGTCATTTTCGGCGTTGGGCTTGACTAAATATGATTAAGAGAGTCGTGTAACAAAGCTCATCCTAATTTTATTTCCAGTACAGTGTACCAAATATGTTGCTAATGGATGTAGTTAGTATAGCTGAAAGGATCGAAGGAATAAAGAGCTGAGAATCTCTTAAGTCACTGTAAATGACTGATCACCATAATTTCTACATAATCAAATTGGAAAATTAGCCCCTGTTTGATCGGCTTTATTTGTCAAAACAATGTTTTGAACTGTGAATTTTCAAAGAATGCATGTTTAAAAAGTAAGGAAACGTTTTGAATTTGCATGCAGAATATTTTATTATATGATTGAAAATGAGTACATAGAATAAACAGATTTGAAAAAATGATCGTGAAATAGGGGCTTAATGTAATTCTACAAATAGAAATTTGAAATCCTCAAACAATGAAAAATAACTTAGAAAACTCAGAAAGATAGAAGGGCTCCAAACTGCCGGCTACAAGCAGCAAAGCCATAATCTTGTTGAGAGAATGCAGTACAATCCAAATTACTGGCACGACCAAAATGGAGCTCAGAATAACAACATTAGGTGTTGTTATGACTCGAAAATCTTAATCTATCTATAGAACTCCAACAATTTATGCTTTAAGATCAAAGGTAAGTAAATGGTTTCACCAGTAACTTAATCAGTTGTTAAAAAAGAGCACAATTAATTTACAAATGTGATTGATAAACTACTTTGTCAGTAAAGATATCAATACTTTCTAAAAAGCTTTATAACATGAAAACTAAGATACTTGCAAACAAGAAACGATATGTCCTGTTATTGTCAAACGTCTAAGTGTGAGGTGGATCACTCCATTCACATGTTAGAAGTCAATTGGTCTAGAGAGATTGAAAGGGATTGTGCTAGTTTAGGAGTATTTTGGACCATAGATTAAATCCAATGGTTGGATTTAGTGTTGTGGTCGATTCTTTTTTCCTAGTCATGTCACATTCACTCTTGATCATAGTACAATATTTGAATTTGAATTCAAATGGTTTTGGCTCTATAATTACGAGACTTCTTCACTTATGTCATTTGGACTTGGCATAACAAAAGAGAGAAAATGTAGAGAGGTAACCAAGTGTGAAAAGTTTATGTCTCCGTCGAAATTCTTGGTGGCTTCCGACGGATCCTTTTCTCGGTATATCAATTGCCATTCCATGGACGATGGTGTATGATCCGATGTGACACAAATCTGAGCTCAACATCATAGGACACTCCATTGGTTGTGTTTAAGAAGCTTTGGGTTGATTGGTTCAGTTTTTACACTTTGAGAGTTTATGTTTCCGCATTGTGGTAGTAATAATAATTTATACATTATATTTTAAACTCTACACTAAGTTATCAGCTCGACTAGATGTCAAATGCCTAACTCAAGAGAGGTCGAGTAGTAAATCAGACCAACTAGAGAAAACACAAGAAGGCAAATCCAAGATTCCACCAAAATAAGGTTGATCCATGTAGAAAAAAGACCGTAAGGTGAGGCTGAGCCCGTGTTGAGACGAGAACAGAAAGTGAGGCCATGTCAAGAGTAAGCCAATGCAGAGGTGGCCTAAAAAAACAAAGAAGACCTTACCAGTACCAAAACATTCATTGTGGCTTGTTGGCTAATATCTTCGTGTTAGGCAATTTTGGACGTGGGACTTATCCATTCAAATGAAGTTTCCAAATTCTATTACTTTCAGAGTTTCTTATAGATCATAAATGCTTGAATCGCCACGAAAACTTTTGGTTTCAGCAATAGTATTCGATTAGTAGATCCTCATATTTTTCTTACATCTTAGTTACTGAGATTTGATTATTTGTTAAAATTGCAGTATTATTAGTGAGTCCTGAAGTAACTTATAGACTACTCGAAACATTAACCGAATGTTGGGTACGTTAAACTGAATAGTGATGTCTCTTATAGGCTTGATGTGTTAGCTTTGCAACTTGATCACAAAGGGAATAATGACATGTTTGGCATGCTTGATAGGACATGATATCGTAATTCATTTGAGTTCAGCGTACCATATATGCCATTACTATTTCAAATACGACTTATGATAAAGTTCATTAAATAGTAGAAAAAGAAGAATACCCTGAAAGACACAGAGATTCCTTTTTTATATTGAGATCACATTTTTGTTTACAATAACCAGAACTGGACGTGACAATTTCAATAATCTTCAATTGTTCCAGTACATACTTCCTACTTCCCATTAGAAGTATTAGGTTTATGTAAGTTTTTTGAAGAAATCTCAAGTAGGGAATAACAAGGATATGAACTGCAGGAGATGGTGAAACTTGTACTGATCAAACAGGAAGAATAGATTGAAATAAAAGAAGAAGAAGAAGAAGAAGAAGAAGAAAGAAAAGAAAGAGAGATGAGATTGTGCAACAACGACATGTATTTGAAGCTTTAAAATTTTGGATCCAGTTCGTCAAGCGTTGAACCTTGAGACATTTACCTAGGAATGAAAGTACTTCAAATTTATTGACTTTCAATGCCAAGAGATAAGGGCTAATAGAATGTTTTGTACACAATATTTGATAGGACTACAAGATTTGAAGTTCGCCTTCTCATTTAACACCGTCCAACTCTGTCCAGAATTATTGAACTTTGTCAATAAGGAATTAAGAATAAGGTGGAGAGAATTTCTTGCCTAGCTGCAAATGCCAAATAACACATAAAATCACCATCAATTTACCTTTTCAATTTGGAATCTTAATCTAACACTATAAATTTGAACTCAAAATCTCCAAGCAATGCAAATCAACTTGAAATAAGAAGAAAGGGAGAGAAAAAACTTGAAAATGCAAGGGTACCCGGAGTATGGCTACAAGCAAGAATCCTATGTGATTGTCGAAGAGGAGAAAATCGTGAAGGAAAACTGTGGCTATGATAATAGTTCAACCATGCAAATGATGAGGCCTAATGAATGCATCCCGACTCATCCACACAACCACCACGCGCCACCTCATCGTGGCGGTTATTACGAGGGTATGAAGCATGGAAAGGAAGGTTACTGGCCTAATGATGGAGAGCACCACCACCACCATGACAGCTGGAATATGGACGAGCCTGGCTATGGGTACAAGAGACATGATGGAGATTATAAGTATGAGAACTCGGACAACGTACATCGCTTAAACATGGGTGGTGGTCATCATCATGCGCCGCCAACGCCACCACCTATGCCGCCAGTGGTGCTGAACGGACTGGTAAAGCATTACAGTGATGCTTGTGAAGGCGTGCACCGCCCACAGTATTATGTGGATGAGAAGGATGTGTACTACTTGAATTCCAAGAGAATTGATGATTAAAAGACTGTCTTACATATGAAATATGTAGAAGTTATGCACTTCTCTTTAAATAACAATTGTAGCACCTCCTGTACCCTGGAGTTGCTTCAGCAGCAAACATAATAATTTATAAAAATAATATGATCATTGATCATATACTCTATTAGTATTCATTATAATTGAGTACTTGAATTTTCGTTCAATTTTTATTTAGACGACTCTTAATTTAGGGGATTTCTATTGTCAAGTTTCGACTAACATAGCCTTTAACTTATCACACACTGGAAGGTAATGCTGTAAATATTATATACAAGGAAAGAAAATTAGGGAATTATGTTCAAGAAATTAAAAGCGTGCACACACACATTTTCATACAATATAGTATTCAACTTATAATTGAGTACTAGAATTTTCTTTCAATATTTCTTTAGACGAGTCTTAATTCAAGGGATTTCTATTCTCAAGTTTCAACTAACAGTCTTTAACTTGTCACACACTGGACACTAATGCTGTAAATATTATATACAAGAAAAGAAAATTAGGGAATTATGTTCAAGAAATTAAAAGACACGCACACTCATTTTAATACAATATTCGATTCGATCTACACAACATCCCTTGTATCTATTGAATTCAAATGTGACCTCGCCACATACTAAATCATGAAATTTTGTCCATGGCCTTTTGCATAATCTACTTCTACACTTTCAACTTATTACGAACTACATATATGTTTGGTATCTCGACGTCGATCTCGACCTCGACAAAACTTCAACATATTGAATAAAATAAAAATACAAAAACTCATTTTCGATCGAGTCCAGCCTACCAAATACGCCAACAAATTTAAACCATTCCATCCACACAATTCTTGATAGTTACATGGTGGATCTACAAAGAGGACAAGTAGTGTGTTGATTCTCAAACCACTTCTCCAAACACACTTTATGGAAGAAATGCTTACAAGAAAGCTCACTCACTTCCTCATCACCTTCAAATCTACATAGACACACACAACACTCCATTGTAGGCCAGATACTGCCGCCGGCGCCGCCACTGCCAGAGCAACCACCACTATCAAGGCAGCGCCGCCTTCCACCATCACTTCTGTTTCTACATAAAGAATCGTACCGGGTTAGTGACACTCTTCGGGTTCTTGAAGCATCTTCGTCGAAATCTTGCTCCGCCTCACCGCCGCCGCCATTAGAACCCACCACTTGCAGCAAAGATCTCAGCAAATTCTTTACTAAAGCCACTGAAATAACTGTGTTCATTACCAGTAAAGGTAGCATACCTTCAGTTGGGCTAGGAAAACTCGACAGACCCATTTTTTTTTTCCGTCGTGCTACGGATTAATTCCTAATCCCGACTCACAAAACTCGAAAAATAATCAGAAAACGAGCAAAACATACAAATCTGGAACAAGGGTTTTGTAAAGGGCGAAGAAATTTGGTTCCACAGAGGAGATGAGGATCGAGGTTGCCAATAAATAAAACCATAGTTTAAAGCTATTTTGGGATTTGTCGACACGTGGCGACACGTGTATGGTTATTGTGCTTGATGCTGATTGGGTTCAAAACCGGCTTTTCACTGAAATAGAAAGGGTAAAATAATTAGGCCACGTGTCCACAATGATTTTTGTGTTGGCCAATAGGATTGCGCTATATTGCAATGTTAGGTCTGGTGGAAGTTTCTTGATTTTGGGTTATCTCTTATTCTAATGATTGAAGATTAATTTGATTTAATCACTACTGATTGTGATATATGAACGAATGCGCGTACTCAGGTTGGCGAGTGGGCGGTTGGAGTCTTGCAAGAGTTGAGAACACTTGTATACTTGAGTTTAATTTCAATATTTTTGGAATCCTATACAAAGATTGTTCGTCCGTTATCTTTAAAATATTTATTTACTGAACTTGTGACCACTTAACCATAAAGCCATGAGGTCTCGTTAATCGGGTTTCGAGTCACTAATAGAGAGCATCTCCCCTCTCTACACTAATAGAAAGGCTCTAGCATATTGTTTTGAATTTCATAACGATCTTCCTAAGTGTCAATATACGAGATAGTGATCGAGAATTACAGAGATGCTCAATCACGTCTGTAGAATGTTCTTTTGTTACAATTCCTCTCAATCTGAGTTGGGATCTGCTTCATCTATGACAAAACTTTCTTCCCTTTATGAAAAAGATTGACTAAAGATTACCTAGAGAGGGATTTCCATTTTGAAAGGTGTTAATAATCAAATTTACCCACCAACGATGACTAAACCACTCTATAGGCACAATGGAAAGACAAATTGAAAAGTATTACTAATTCATTTAAGCTTAAATGTGTTATTTATGATGGAAAATGTACTATCTACAGCAAGAAAAATGAAAAATTCAAAACTAGAGGTTAGAGTCTTAGACCCCGTGCAAAATTTCAATGGTGATCTGTGAAATTGGGAGGATCAATTCCCATTGCCTTGTAATAAGATTTTTCTGCATCAGCCATCCTAGTCTGGAACATTTTCCACTCCTGTCTACACCTCTCGCGCACCTGGAACCAACGAACAAAACTCTAGTTAATATGAATTCATAATAGATACAGTTCTAGAGCGTATAAAGAGGATTAAACTATTTTAGAGTTGGGTCCTTAGCAATTTAGCAAATGGAATGTACTATGTATGTTGAAACTACGTACCCCATGCCATGGAGCCTTGCCATTATCTAGTTGCCCCTATCAAAATATCGAAGGGAGATGGTGATTATTTCGTGATGTCTAAAATTATATACAATAACGATTAAAAAAATAAAAAAAAAAGTCTTGTTCTACACAAATTTTTGGAGTCAGTACATGAATAATTTTTTGTTCCTCTTTTAGGTTCAGTACATTTGAAAATCCATATAACATGTATAAACCACAATATGGCAAGTGTTACCAATGTCATGTTTTACCTGATTCCCAAGTGAAGGAACACTTTGATGAACAATCCATTGGGCATCTACAACTCCAATTTTCTCATGAGCAGGCTAAAACAGAGACATGGCCACATGGTTATCAGTAGAACTTGCAGAACAGGCTGATTAAAAATTTTATATATATATTCCAGAGTCAAACAGTGGATTTTGAAGGGGACAAGCACGACTAACCTCGACACATTTTTGCAGGGCGAAGTCAAGACCCCAACCGTGGACCAAGTCATTCTACAATTACCAGATCAAGACAGTCAAATCACAAATTCAAGGACTTTCAAGATCCAAGAGTGAATGCAAGGAAATCACAGTTAACCTGTATCATATGCCATACACAACGCCATGCCTCTCGAGAAAAGACAGGAGCCATGATTTCTACGAATCTGTGTAGTTGATGACAGAAAATGAAAAATAATGTCCAAGAATTACACTGATGCAATCAGAACAAAGAGAAAGTCGACAAATCTTTCAATAAAAAGAAGAAAAAACAGAGAACAGTTCATACGCTGCACAGGGAGGCAAACGGGGGTCAGAGCACCAGCCTGGCTTCTCCTCTGTTTGCCTATATTCAGAAGCAAATATAAGAAGACATTGCAAAAAAAAAGGTTTCACCCAAAATATGCATAAATGGTACGAAATTTTAGTTGTTTCTTTTGTTTTATAATTCTTACTTGTGAACTTCACAATCACCTCTTCTCTTTGTCATCTGCCAAGTCAACCCTCGATTGGGTTCCAAACCAGGCTGTGAAATTTCTAATCCATGTTTTTTCACAAGTTTGATGTATCTGGAAATGCAAAGGCGAAGAAAGACACGCAACACAGATTAGTTAACAAAGATTTTCGTCAAAAAAGTAAATTGTTGATTAGATGCTCACTCTTCGGCAACAAAATGCTCGACTCCAAGGTCTTCATCCCAAATAAATATGAAATCATATGGTGCAACAATGTCAGGATGCAGAAACCTTTTAGCAAACCACCTTTTAAAAAAGATGGAAATTCAAATGAAAGAAATAAATTATAGGGTACTCAAAATAATCAAAATAATCACAAATTTTTGTGAACAGTTCCTTACCATTTTGTCTGTTTTTTTGCACTCACATGAATAGCCCGCTTCGACCACTCAAACTCATCCCATTCGGATGCTCGGCCATCATAATGAAACAAAACGATGGTAAAGTTCTCTGAAAACTGTAGAAAGAACATGCTTAGAGAAAGAGACAATGTAGGTTGGGAGGGTATACAGGAATACTTGTTGACCTTTTTTACTGCTGCATCAATGTTGTGTCTTTGATCATAACCAACTGTAAAGGTTACCAGATATATTGGTTTGCTGGTCAAATCCTGTATAATGTCGTATTGATCAGACAAAATTTAAAGAAAAGATAGCATTTGTACTTATTTCACAAATATAGAAACCAGAAACTAGTTTTACATTTGGATAATGGATTTTGCACTCTCTGAGTCCATGTCAAGTTTTATCCATTCTTGCAAAAGTTACTTGTTTAACTCAAAAATTCCACTTCGATCAATCTTAACAATTTGTGTGTTACACAAACCAAAGCGTATTTTGCATTCAAAAGAATAGATAATTTTACAGTTTAATAGTATTTTGCATATGAAACTATGTTTTCAACAGAATACTTACCTCATTAGGTTTACCCCACAATCTGCGGAGATAAAAGTCTGATTCGGACGCAACAATTCCTGGAGGTAATCTCTCTGCACCTTTAGGATTTGATGGGACCCAAATCTAAATCAGAATAATTAGAAAAAGAAGGTATTAAACTATTAATAGACAAATTCACATAGGTTTACTATCCGAAAGATATTAGGTTTCCAAATATTTCATCTACACATAGTTAACACACGATTACAGATGCATAGACCTAAGGAAAGAAGAGAAAATAATCTGTATTTCCAACTAACCTAACATCAGATATTTTGACTAAAATTTGAAGATGTGTTTCTCTGCATGAACTTCATGTTTATCTCGAATTAAAAGACTATAAGTAGACATATTGTTCCGTAGAAGCAGTGTACAGAAATTATTCTATAAAATAATGTTCAAACACTATCTCAATTTTATAATATTGCCTAATTAACAAGAAAAAGTAACCTTTGATGAATCATTCATATTTTGATTTTCAGTTGAGTAGCTTGTATTATTCTTGGAAGAAGAAATATCATTTGTACTTTGGGTAGAGCCACCTGTACTTTTGTTGCCAACAATCGAAGAATCATGAACAAGAGCAGATTTCATATTTAGCTGCAAAATTGAAAAGGTAGAATGAATTACAACGAAGATTAGAAAGCAGCATCACGAATAAAAAGAGCAATTTAACCATACCTTCATTAAAGGAAGAACGGGAAATGACTTTCCTATAAAGAAGCCAAAGATGAAGCCGACAAAAACAGTAATAATAACCCTCATTGTTTCATTTGGTTTATTAACCATTGCACTGCAAAAACAGACGTCAAAAGTCATACAAACTGTTGTCGGGTATGTTATAATGCTTTAAGCTTGATTTAACTACACAAGAACCAAAACTTATAAACCTGCGTCCTAAATTCCCTTTCTATGTAAAGTTTCTGCTTCCATATTTTGAACACATATGGCCCTAATAGCTGCTATGGAGCGATCAGTTAAGTTTAAAGCAGCCACTCTCCAATAAAAAGTAGAGAGGTTTCTAACACGAAAGAACAATTTAGAAATAATTTATCCATCAGAAAAAGAACAAATAGTTCTCGAAAACCCCACAACACAGAGAAGTGGTAGAAAATACAGAAAGCAAGAGTTATGTAACAACAAATTATTAGATATTATATAAGGAAAGTGTGTCAACGAGTTCGTATTCAGCTCAACACGTTGAAAACTTTCTACGAGATTTTATTACACCACCAGAATAAAATCACAAACTCAATAATGCAAAATATATATATATATATATTAAAAAAAAAGGAAAATTGGATAAAGCTTCCTTTGAAGCTCGCATTCTTCCCACAATCAACTTAACTATACCAGAATAAAACCACAAACTCAACATCCTGAAAAAACAGTCAAATCTAGCTAAAACTTTCCACATAAATTAAACTGCCCCAATGGAATTTCATACTGAAAACCGAGTAAACAACCAAACCTTCACCCCTCAAAGTTGATCAATCACTACAAAGCACAGTAATTCACGTGTGCATCCGTGTCACAATCAATTCCACAAGAAATTGCAGCAGTTCACTACCATAAACTGATCACAAATTTAAGCACAACCCACTTCAATTGCAGAAAGCCATTCATCCTTCCTTCCGCCCAGAACCCCTTTTTCAATCCAGATATATATAGAATAGGCATAAACAATAATTTCCGGCATTTCAAGTCACATACAAACAGGACTCTTGGTTTACTTAATTTCCAAGGCTTAACAAAACTTCGATAACTTCAATTTATTAAGAAAGAAAGAAAGAAAACAACAGCACCAACAACAGATATTTCATTGATTTTTTCATGTTGGCTTATTTTTCATCATAATAAAATTAAACACCCGACATGCATAAACACGTACGCATATTTAAAATGCTTGAGAGCATACCTGGATTGAAATTGAAAAACCCAGAAAAATTCAGACGAGTTAAAGCGTAAGTAGCCGAGAGCCACGAGAGCAAACACAATTTTCTCGGTGAACTTTTACTGAGGAAATAAACGCTTGTTGAACAGCTTTAACCCTTCAATTAATGCGTTAATTCTCTACAAATATAATGATAGTTGTGAAGGAAGATTTGAAAGTGGAGCACTATAAGAATTTCCAAGTTAATAAAAGTCGTGAAGTTGGAGCAAAAAGATGGTATCTTGTGAGAAAGAAAGTGAGATTAAAAAAGTTACAGAGGAAACAGATTGATTTGTTTTGATTTTTTACTTCCCTTTTCTTTCCAAACAGTTTTTTAATGCAATAATTAGGATTCTTGGTCCACAAAGTTAGACCATGTCACCATAAACAAGATTTTAATCTATTTTTCTTCTTAATTAACCAAATTTTCTTCAAAATTCCGAATATTTTTAATTAATTTATTATAAACACGTCAATTGTGTTTGGTCCGTAATACTAAAGACAATGTCTTGACCAATATGGCAAGAGAGATTTAATTTTTTTTTTTTTTTTTACTAATGTATAATATTATATTTATTATTCAATTTTCTCCGTCGAAGTTATTTTATATTCTTAAATTAATTTAAAAATTAAAAAAGATGTTAATGTTTTGTGTTTAATGATGATGGAATATCGTTAATGTAAAAGTCCGTGAAATAATAGGATTGGACAGATCAATGTTTTATGTGAGAAAAGGAGGAAAAGACGTGATCTCAAGAGAGAAATGTGAGGAATAATAGGTTGTCATTGTTCCATCATTATGTTGGCAAATCACATTACTCTAATTTTTAAAGAGTTTAAAAGGGATTAAATTGTGGCATTAAACATTGTTAGATCGACTAACTTATTTTCTTCTTCTTATCTAATACTATTTAGGGGCCGTTTGGTCGGATTTCTGTTATTACTTTATACATCTTATAGAAGATCTACTTTTAGAAAATTAATAAAATAAGTTCAAATTAAATTTGTAGTCAGAAGAAACTTTTTACTTTTCACAAACTTTGCCAAACAGATTCTTGATATTGTTTGATCCAAGCGTCAAATCAAAAGCAAGTTTATATTGCTTATATAAAATAAATAAAAATTGTTGGTGCTCTATGTTTATTTTGGAATGTCATTAGTGTTAATTAATGAAGGATTAAAGATGGAATTAATTTTGCATTCAAATATAGAAACTGAACTTTTTGGAGTTAAAAGAAAAGGATTAATTTTATTTAGTAACATCGGTGTAATTGATCACACTGATTACATTAAATTACGGTCCAGTCAAATACAAGGAATTATGGCACATTTAATAGGACTCGTGATATGCTGACATCTAAACTTGTGTTTTAACTTCATTGGTACTAGATAGTTAAAGATAAAAATAAAGAATAAAAATTTAATGTTTTGTTATGTGGAGGTCATTTGTTGGTTAGCTCATTGTTCAATCGTCATTGTGATATCATCCCACACAATTTTTGTAAATAAATATATGGTAGTGAAAGAATTCACTTTTGTCGTTTTTTTCAAATTATTTTAATAATTATAATGCATGAAAAGGGCGTTTGATAGGATTAGAAGTGCGAAAATGTGTTGGACTTCTCAAACTTAAATGGGTTGATGTGTAAAAAATTGAAAAAGAATGTTAGTTACGATTGGATTTAGAGACAACAAAGTGTATCGGACCATCCAAACTCGAAGAGTTCTACATATGAATTTAGTGAAAAGGGTTTGACATAATGGCTAAATTTATGGGTGTTAAAATATGTAAAATCGTCAAAATTTTAACAGCTTAACAATAATTTCTAATTTTTGAATATGGAAAACACTTGGTTTAGAGAATCAATAGTCAAATAAAACTCTGGGATATACAAGCAATCAAATTTTATGAAAAAAAAAAAAATACTATGAATGAAAAACAAAGCTCTCTCTTATTCTCCAACTTCCTCCTATGAGTTTGACTTATATATATCGGACTAATATATAAAAATTATCCAAATAAAAGTTTGTTTTTACATATATAAAAGAATTTATAGTGCAAAACAATTAAATGGGTCGGAGCTGGTTTGAGCCCCCTAATTCCACATAAGCTGACCATTGACATACAAATAATCAAATTATCAATGAAACCCGTGTGTCGTGGACTCAGTCTTACTCCGATATAATTGAGTACTTGTTTGGTAGAGATTTGGTTAATTGATTTTTTGATCGTTAGAGATAAAGTGGGTCTTACCTGTGAGAGAAGAATTAAAAAACGACGACTGTAATAGTGAAATAACGATCAAAAAATTGATTTTAATTGACTTAAAATCTGTACCAAACAAGCTCTGAAAGAATCCTCATATAATTTTCTTGATTGGTTGGCATTTGGCAATCAAGAAATACTTGGATTTGACCTTAGCTAACAAGAAGATCAAGAATTGGGTGACCCAACCAATTTCAAACTTGCCAAATGAGACACATGTTTTACCCCATGTTGAAGTATAAAAGAATTAGATTGGTAGGTACAAACCCATATGGGGGCCCTTGATTCATAAGCATTAATATAACTTACTATGGTCTAACCACTTATTCAAACAATTAATGTCATGGGAATTACAAAATCTTGGCAAGAAATGGTAGGCTTTGGTAAATTTCATATCATAATCTTGTTTTCTTCTTTTTAATATTTTGATTATTATAAGAAAAACATAGGCATACAATAGTTAGCTGTTGTCATTTATTTGTTCAAAACGTTTTGATGATGAACTTTAAGTGCAAACACCAAGCAAGAAAACATTAAAATACAGAAGTTGTTCATCCAGTTGGGACTTAGAGATTAGTCCATTCACTCTGTGCATTAAAAGTCTTCAAGATAAAATACAACGTACATTGAACCAAAATCAAGACACGATTTTGTCCAAGAATCACAAAAATTTCCTAAACACAACCCTAGCCCACAAATTATTCACACCCTAAACTCTGTGCAGAATCACACAATCACAGCCAATAGTTCAAGCCTAAGATCACTATAGCAAGACCAATTTACAAGGTTCAAACCTAGGTTAGAAACTTAGAAAGATTAAACCATGAAGAAGAAGAAGAAGAAACAGCACCGTATGAAGTCAGAGAAAAAACTAGAAAATGAAAAATGAATCTAACCATATTCATTCCAACCGTCTATCAATCTTAGAAACGAAAGGGTCATATCTGATAAAGCTTTTAATCCTAGCATTGATCAAATCCAATGTTCCAGAATGGCCAGAGGCGGACCCACATGGGATCAAATGACCCCACAAATTTATGATTTTATTTTTTATTTTTTATTTTTTATTTTTTTTATAATTATAACCTAACAACTACCTACTACCAATTGCCAAACCCAATTTTCAAATGTAGCCCACATTTGTGAAAAACCCAAATTCAATCACTATATCCATAATCCCATAATCCATTTATGGATTTATCCAAATCCAATCCAACTTATATAATGAGTTCCAATATTCCCAAATCAATTCCCATTTTTCCCAAATTGCCAATCGCAAAATGTGAATCATGACTCGTCTCTCTTTTTGAACTCATTTTTTCTGCTTTCCAGTTTTTTCTTTGCCATCAACCCTCCACCAGGTAGTCCCTCAGCGGCTCAGTCCCTGCTATATAGGTCCGCCCATGCTGCTACTCGACTACGGATTACGATGAAAATTTTCATTTTTGACCCCACAATTCGAAATATCTAGGTCCACCCCTAAGATTGGCATTCAACTAGCACAATTTTAGTTAAAACCAAGCTACCAATCCAAGGTTACCACGCTAAACTAAATAAGTAGCAAGGATAATTATCCGTAAGTCGTATTTGAGACGCACACTTCTTCAATCTTCTACTTGGATCTAATACACTCATTCTCTCTTGTTGCTAATGTGCACATAAATGAATGATCATACATCATTGCTCATGTGCCTGCTAAAGAACTGACTTGGATCAATAAGGAGCATTGGTAATCAAGATTTAAACTTGCCAATTGGCAGTACTAAGTACCCATATCAGAGGATTTTTATCATTATAATTTTTTTCCGGATTAACTTCTCTTGAAGATATTTTTTCTCTTATAAAGTGATATTTCACTCAATGTATTTGGACCTTTCATGATAGACATGGTTCTTACTCAACCATAGTGCACTCTAGCTACAATGAAAACAGTAGTAGTATCATGCATAAAGTTCAACTCAGTCAAAATACCCTTCAACCATGTACATCCTTTCACAACCTCAGTTAAAGCCACATATTCAACTTCAATGTTGGATAATGTAACTATAGTTTGTAAATAAGATTTTCGACTTATGCAGTTATCTTCTAATGTAAAAATAAAATAAAACGTGGAAGTGAATTTTTTTAATCTTTATCACCAAAAAATTCATCATCCTCATGCCCTTTTAATGTTAATTTATCAAACGTTTTTCATAAAATAGTCCTAGATTTAATGTGTACATGAACAACCATTTACCAGCCCAACGTAGTTTACTTGGGTTCGACAAATCAACTCAAAAAGCTAATTTCATAAGCTAAATCAACTCTAGTTCTAATCATAGAAAACATCACAGAACCAATTACATTTGGATAAGGTATATTACTCATTTCTATATTTCCTTTTTCAATAATAGATAATCGTGCATTAGATAGATTTATGTGAGCAGCAAGAGTTACATTGATAGATTTAGTATACTTCATCAGTGGCGAATCCAGCATCAATGTTCAGCTAGGGCGGAAGTTGACTTTGACCTTTGACCGTCGACAATCAACGATCGTAAAAGTCTAGTCCGGTCGGCAGCCGATCGTTTATTAAAATTAGATTAAATAATATTAAAAATTATTCAATATATATGTAAATGCACTAAAATCTAGAAATTATATACATATAAAAATATAGTTCAATACAACCCAAAATGCTAAAAAAAAAATTACAATACAACCTTATTCCGTAATTTTAAACTTAGACAATTGAATTCTACGAGGTCGCATATTTTGAAAACGCTGCAATATTGTCTCGTTCTCAAGTTTTATAAAAAGATCTTTCTCCATGTAAATCACCAAATTATCATTCAACAATTCATATCCCATTTTGTTGCGCAGATTATTTTTGATTAGATTCATAACGGAGAATACCCTTTCAACACTTGCAGTTGCCACAGGTAATATCAAAATCAATGTGATCAGCTTATAAACCAATGGAAAATAACAAGAACATCCCATTTCAACCAACTTCTGAGCTACACAAGATATGCTTTTGAGGTTG